ATCATGTTTAGAATACTGGAATAAATAATAAAGACAGTTTGATATTAAATTTGATCTTTGATGAACTGAATATGAAATATATTTATTGGGTTGTCTTTTTGAAATTCTTTGAAGAATGTACTTGGGAAATGGAGGTGGGGGTGAAGGGGAAGCACGTAGAGTCGGTCATACAACTTCAATGTGCATGGCTTCAATGTACACCTAGAAGGATCTCATGTCCCTACAGAACTCCAAATACGTCGCAAATTTCGATTCGATTGCACTCAAATTTTCACAGAAGTAACAATGATTATCAATAATTCTTGTTGGTAAATGAATTTGCCAAAAAAAAACGAAGCCATTTGGATAAACGATGCAAAATAAAAACACCTTCATTTTTCTTCAAAGTTAATTTTCTCGAAACTCGTCACAGAGATTGTAATACAATTTTCAGAATCATTTCTTAATAACGTAATTGACATACTGACGAAGTTTGAATAATCACTGTTACTTCTGTGAAAATTTGAGTGCAAATCAAAATTTGTGACGTAGATCTCACGGCTTATTGGTTAGGTTTTGGGGAAAAATATAGGATTAGGAATGCAAAAAAAATGCATAATCTGTACATGAGATCCTAAGCTCTATGTCTACATGAGAGCCATGTACATGCACAGCCATATATTATGTAAGTTGTAAGACAGACCGTTCTCAGGGAAGGGGGAAGGGGTTGCATTGATTCTCACTATTGATTTTAATGATCCATATGATATAGAAATAGAGGAAAGAAATAGTGCTTAGAAGAAGGTTTTTTCTGGGAAAAGGCCCTTAGAAATAAATTCAGAAAAATTAATTTCCAACAACACTGGGAGTCGAACCCACACCCTTGGATTTGTAATACTGATGCTCTATCAGTTTTTAGTATTACCATACTAGTGGACTATTGCAAATCCTTCGTTCTGATTGGCTACGCTACTTGGGGTCTATTTTCAATAGTCCTCGACTAGCAAAAAGCGAAAACGTTTTGCATATTTTTAGCAATAAAAACATTTAGTTATTTAAATATTTCATTCATTTTTTGTCCAACTAGTATGGTAATACTAAAACAATTAGATCCCTCAGCCTGGTGGACTACTGTACAAGCTGATAGCCCATTCAGCCTTTGGCCTCATGGGCTATCAGCTCGTAGTCCACTCGCCCTCGAGATCTAATTGTTAAGTAGCCTAAGCTGGTAGAGAATTGGTAGTACAAATCCAATGGTCTTTCTCCCGGAACAACCGCCTTCTAAGCACTATTCCGTCCTTTATTTCTATATCATGTTTATCATAGTGCCATGTGGTCCCCACATTCATATCTTTATGATACATACCTGGATATCATTCTAATAGTTCCCTTGGCTGACTGTATTAGCCCATCATACTGTGGTACATGTATGTCATGGTCAGCCATTATTAACATGGTTTTACTGTGCAAATCAGTAGTGCATATGGAAGGTTGTGCTGTATTCTTTGTACATTTGCATGACTGGCACAAAGTGTTTTTCTTTTTTTCAAGCCTATATTGAACAAACAAACAATATTTTAGATGATAAACCACATGCAATGTCTTCTAAAAGAAATTCTTTTGAATAAATTTTGAGCTTGTACGTAGTTATAGGTAATAATATTAATATATTCTTACTTTACAAAGCAATATAATAATCAGTTGAATAATAAACAAAGTTTCTCCAAAGAACTTGATTTACACTACAAACATCTTTTAGCATCTGATCTATCGGTCAAAAGAACCGACATATTAGCATCTGATCTATCGGTCAAAAGAACCGACATACAAGGTAATCAACGATACAAATACTGAACAGCAAGTCAAAATACTTCACTGGTTGAAGTCCAGATCAGAATCAGATGCAAAAGTAACATAAAAACCTCACGCGATACAAAATTGTCTKATAACATGCAATTCTTCGATTTTCTTACCTTTTTTCGGTCTTGTAATGTCCATTAACCTTTTATACATCTTTTCTAGGTCTTATTTCCTCTTTTTAAAGCCTTTTAGTGTATAAAATAAAGCATTTTTTCAGCACTTTCCTCCATGTTTTGCTCCTTTGCACGTGTTRAAAGTGTTTGTAGTCACGTGATTGGAGACTGGAAACTAGTATCCCGAGGGTGTCCCGCAATTGTCCCGGGTAACAATCGTGTCCGGTGTAAGAATATTCAAACAAAACAAACAAAGAAAAGTCGTATAAGCGCAAATCTAGCAGACTTACAATATCTGTAAGTATCCCTTAGCTAACCCCAAACCCTAACACTAACCCTAATGCAAATTGTTTGATTAACTCTAACCCTAACCTAATGTTAGCCCCAAAACCTAGCACTAACCCTAATGCAAACTACTCTACCAGTAAACTGTAACACTAACCCTAGCCCTAATGTTAACCCCAAACCCCAGCACAAACCCTAATGCTAATTACTCTAACCAATAAACTATAACACTARCCCTARCCCTATGCTAACCCCATACCCTGGCACCAACCCTAATGCAAATTCACTATCACAATATTGGTGTTAGGTCGAATTTGGGGAATGGTCGG